AGAGGAGAGAGAAGAGGCCGAGATGAAGCCCTTAAGGCCTCGTGCTCATTCTCCACAGATGGTTGTGGATGTTGTAGGGGACATGGAGTATGGGGGGGGGGGATGAGGCCTCTGTGTGTGGGCACAGATATGAGCAGGACTCTTCACTATTCACTGAATTTCTGCACCTGAGCAAATTCCTTGCCTTGATGCTCCATGGAGGCCATTCCATCCCCCACTTTATTTTTGTTTGCTGTCTAGTCACCGCTGGCTTACATGGACCCCACAGAGTTTTCAAAGCAAGAGATGTACAGAGGTGGGTTGCCATGGCCTGCCTCTGCATAGCGACACTGGACTTCCTTGGTAGTCACCCATCCAAGGACTAACCGGGGCCAACCCTATGAGCCTCTCAGATTGGGCTAGCCTGGGCTATCCGGGTCATGGCCCTCCCTCTACTATCAGAGGGCTTTAAAAAAACGGTAACATTTAGCTTTTTGCTGGGACCTAAGCTCTTTAATAAGAGGGATTGGTGGGTCTGAAGATAGGAAAGGTTGAGACAGGTGAAAAGTACTGGGACCGGAGACTCAGCATAGTGAATCAGCTCCACTATCAGAGGGCTTTAAAAAATCGGTCACATTTAGCTTTTTGCTGGGACCTAAGTTCTTTAATAAGAGGGATTGGTGGGTCTTAAGATAGGAAAGGTTGAGACCAGTGTTCCCTCTAAGCTGATTACACCAGGAACCATAGATAACTTATCCGGCCAGTGCCCTTAAATGCGTGTCCCCGCTCCACACCCACACACACCCATCACCCGTGATTGGTTCTATTTACAAGTCAACATCTCGGTAGGTCTACTTTCGGATCCGGGCGAACCTATTGGTGCACCCTAGGATCCGAGGTGGCTATTGTGTTAGACCCGAAGGTCAGAAGGCTGGTCCGAGGCTAGCGTTGCCTTGGCCATCTTTTAGCAGCTAATACATAACAGGGAAGTATTGAGACCTACAGGAAAGGAAAGTACTGTGATAATTCACTAGTCTGACCTGCAGATCCTGATTACACCAGGAACCAAAGAGAACTTGGCCGGTCAGTGCCTGGCTTAAATGCGTCCCACACCACACCCATCACCCCTGATTGGTTCTATTTACAAGTCAACATCTCGATAGGTCTACTTTCGGGTCTGGGCGAACCGATTGGTGCACCCTAGGATCCGAGGTGGCTATTGTCTTAGACCCGAAGGTCAGAAGGTTGGTCCAAGGGCATGGCCAGGCTAGCGCTGCCGCGGCCATCTTTTAGCAGCTAATACATAACAGGGAAGTATTGAGACCTACAGGAAAGGAAAGTACTGTGATAATTCACTAGTCTGACCTGCAGATTATCCAGGAAAAGCTCTTCCACTCCTGAATGAATACACGGGGATTTTTTTTACTAGGTAACAAATACCTTAAACACCAGGTAGGTTCCTTGGCCACCCTATTCACCCACCGCCAAGCTCAATATGGGCGGGTCCGTTCTGTGCATAACTCCTCCTGTTCCGAAGTCGGAAGCATTGATAAGTGCCCAGTTAAGATTCTGTACACACCACCAAAAGAGTGGGCTGTACTAATCCCCCCCCCTTCCCAGCAGAAAAGTAGCTCTTCAGGGAGAGAGGGTATATCCTCGGCCCTTCTCTGTTGCATTGCTTTCCTGTCTGTCTGGACTTTTCTTTGGGGAGGGGGGGTTTCGGCGATGTGACTCCCCTCTCCTAGTGTCTGCAGTGGCGCGGTCCGTTCCCCCTCTCTTGGGGATCTGGCATCCGCCTCCAGATCTGGGTTTGCAGGGAACGCGCGCGTGTCGCTGTCGCGGGAACGGGCAGAGAGGTTGAATCGCATACAAACGGGAGGGTCTCCTCCCTCTTTTTTAAAGTCAGCTTCCCAAGGGAAAGTGGAGTCTGAGGCGGGAGGGGGAGATCTGACACGGGCTGTGGTTTTGGAAAGGGGCAGATTGATGTGGTGACTCCCCTCGGCAAGCCGCCTCTGCCTCCAAGTTTCTCCCTGGGGCAAGCTTTCCAGTCTCCTTCCACCCGTTTTCGCTGGAGACCCCCGATCTCCCCAAGACTCAGGGAAGCCCCCGGTTTCCCTCCCCCCCTCCATCCCTCCCGCTCCGAGGCGCCTGCAAAAGCCAGGAGAAGTGCAAAGGAGGCCGGTCCTTGCCAAGGTCCGCCTTCCTTCCCGGCCCTTTTTGCAGCGGCTCTTTCCCCCGCCGCTCTCACTCCCCGGGCCGCGGATTGGGCGGCGGCAGAGAGGCGAGGAGGAGGACGGGAGACGCCCCCCTGGCTGCTTCGGGAAAGCGGAAAGAAACCGAAACTAACTCTAGTCTCTCCTCCCCTTCGTAGAGGCAGCCATGGCGGCCGAGGGTGCCGTCCGGGAGCTCTGCGAGGAGGCCTCTTGCTCCATCTGCCTGGAGTTCTTCCGGGACCCGGTGGCCATCGCCGAGTGCGGCCACAGCTTCTGCCGGGCCTGCCTGACCCGCAGCTGGGGGGAGTCGGGGGCCGCCTCGTCCGAGCCTTCCTGCCCCCAGTGCCGCGGAAAGGCGCGGGAGGGGAGCCTCCGCCCGAACCCGCAGCTGGCCAACTTTGTGGAAATCGCCAAGAAGTTCAGGCCTTCGGAAGGGGAGGGGGCAGAAGCCAAGGGGGGAGAAGGCGAAGGGGGCGTCTGCGAGAAGCACGGGGAGCCCCTGAAGTTTTTCTGCCGGGAGGACGGAGCCCCCCTCTGCGTGGTCTGCAGCCGGTCCCGGGAGCACCGAGGTCACCAGGTGACTCCCCTGGAGGAGGAGGAGGAGGAGAAGGTAACAAACCTCTGTGCATCTTCAGTGCGGAATAGCTGTGATTTCTTCCTGCTTTCCTTGGAGGTTCGATCCAGGGAAAAAGGAGTTCTTGCTGGAATGCAAATAATGATAGATATTAAGCCCATTTAATTTTAGGCCGCAGGTGCTCGACAGCGAAGTGGGAATCGGTCGGCCTTTTGGCTGTCCCTGTCCGGTCGACCAGAGTCGGAAACAGGATCCTGGGCTAAGCAGACCCCTCCGTTGGTCTGGTCCTTTGCCCTGCTCCCTTTCACCAGGACTGGAGACTTTTCTTGCCTGGCTTAGAATTTCCCCTCGTTTGCTCATAATGTCAGTATTCTGTTTTGATTCCTTACTCAGCTTCAGGTTGGCTCCCATTCAGATCTCATCATGTTCCCCTGCCCTCTATTCCACCTGGAGATTCCCTTTCTGTCATGTCCTGGACCTGGCATGGACCGACAAAGCTTGTAACCTAGAACAATAGACAGCTAGGATCCTGGCAGGATCCTATAGACCAGGAGCCGCACTGTAAATAGCCTATCAGGGGTAGTGGGTGTGTGTGGGGTGTGGTGTTGTGCACGGATTTAAGCAGGGCTTCGGTCCTGCTAGAGTTCTCTTTTAGTTGAGCTAATCAGTGAATAAAGTATGATCTGATCACTACCTGCGTCTCGAACCCAGTGGTGGAATTTGCTTGTTCGTGAGGCGCTCTTGATCCTTTTGCCCCCAGCCTCCCACTGACACGAGGCAGTGAAGCAGTACTATGCCCACCCGTTAACATCTAGTGGGAATGCAGTAGCCTCTCCCGTATGGAGATCTAGCAGCAGGGCTAGTCGAAGAGGTGTCGCTGCCAAAGTGGGACTATCCAGAGCAGGGTCTACCTTAGAGTATCCGGCCATGATGAGTGCCTTTGGATTTCTGACACAGCGTGATGGGAGCAGCCACGAAATGGCTGCTGCAGGAGGTGGAGCCTGCTACAAGATGGCTGCCACATCATCTCTTCAGTTAGACAGGGAAGATCCTTGTGCCGTGGGGGCAGCTGCCGCCGAATCAGTGTTTTTAAAAATCTGCACAGCCGCTGTGACTTGGATAGTCCAGGCAACCCGAGCTCATCAGAACAAAGCGAAGCAGGGCCGACCCTGGCAAGTACTTGGATTGGAGACCTCCTTGGAACGCCAGAGCTAGGAGGTGGGGGCAGGCTTTATTCAGCCCCCTCTCTGAATATCCGCCGTAATCTGCACAGCCAGTCAGATCTCAAATGACCAATCAGACATCCTCCTTGACAGATGCCCCACCCACTTTCTCAAAAGGATTGTAGAGCCCCAGAAAAGGTGTTGCTGGGCGCCTTTATGCCCCCATGGTACCACGCTGGGGACCCCGATACAGAGGATGTGGGTCCCGTCCCTCCAGTCAGCAAAATGCCTGCCCAGAGTGACTGAAGAGGGGTATTCCAGTATCAAGCAACAGTAACTGTGAATCTGGAATGAGGTGGGGAGCCCTGCAGGGACAGAGAAAGACGGCTGTCCTCTCCAGACAAAGCACTACGTCACTGGCAACGTTGGCTGCATCAAGGTCTAACGTGCTTCATCCCTGAGTCCAGTTATCAGTACTGGGACAAATATGTCAACGCTGTTCCAAAAATGTCTTTAGAGCCTTTCCTGTGATCATTCAGAGTGTAGAAAGGGGAGCTGGGAGGTTTGCAGAATCTAGGCTCAGGACAGGGGAGGGGAGTTTACGTGGCTCTGCCAGCTGCATCAGCCATTTTGGGTTTGGCTTTGCCTCCTGTGGCGGCCATTTTGGTTTGTTTGTTTTTTAAAGCCCCCCAGAAGGGATTTTTTATTGCATTTTCTATAAACTACGAAAAAAGGGTAGGGAAAACTACATCTATGGGAGAAAGGAAAGAAAACCAAACTAAAAACCCAAGAATAGGACATCATTACAGTAGCTTTTATCAGTGTTAGTCTAAAATGCTATGATTACATTGAACATAGTCGATCAAGCTATATTATTTATCTTTAAAACCATTATTTTCACTATTTAAAAAAAAATCACAAGAGCATCATTTATAGCCTTAAGGCACAATTCAGAGTTCTTCAGACTTTATTTTGTTTTATCTTTTCTAATCTTTAATTGGTATTCTCGCTTAGGGGCTGTTGCCCCCTTTTCGGAGTCCTCATCGGAAGTAGCAGAGTCCATTTCATCACTAGGTTTGCTGTCTTCTTCTTCCTTGCTATCCTCACCGGACTCTCCCAGTTGCAGTCTCAGGAACTCACGCACTTTAAAAACAGAGTCAATTTTTTATTTTTTATCCTGCAGTTTGAAAATGACGTCTTCGGGGGTCAACCATCTGTAAGGAATGCTGTTTGTTTGTAAAAATAGGATCAAGTCTTTATACTTCTTCCTCTTCTTCCTTATTTCGAATGGAATATCTTTTAAAATCCTGATGGTGTTACCTCCAATTTTCAAGGCGGTCCTGTAGTTGCTTTCAGGACTTGGTCCCTCACACGTCTCTTTGAGAATCTAACCACTATCGCCCCAGGCAGATTATTTTTCTTGATATAAGCGGAATAGGTTCTATAAATTGCATCCATTTCGCTTACAAGGTATTCCGCTTTTAAGTCTGTAACTGGGGCTAGCACATCACTCAGCAGTTGCTTTAGATTCTCTTCTTTTGCTTCAGGGACCCCTTGGAACTGGAGGACTAGGTTAGCTTTTTCCATTTGTAACTGCAAAAGTTGATATTCATCTGAAGCTTGCTTCTTTTCCAGCATTTGAACCTTTTTCTTAACCTTTTTGGAGTTGGCATCCATTTCCTTCACTTTCTCAGCTGTTTGCTCTGTCTTTTTTGTAGTCTCAGTCAATAGGAGCTGCTGAGTTGCAAAATTCTGGTTTAAAGCTGTCAGTTGTTGGTTGATGTTCGTCATCTGGTCCAGTAGAGGGTGCAAAGAGTCCACTAGCAGTTTAGAAAACTCAGTGGTATCTTCCGACCGCGGGCTCATGCTCCCCAGTAGTTTCACTTTTGCTTGTCTTTCTCCGTTTTTTTCTACGCCATATTTGTGGATTGTTTACTTTTAAAAAACTTGCTAACGTCTTTGAAATTCACCCAAACGCTTACAGGCGCTCTGGTGGATTTCTTAAAATAGATTTCAACGCTTTTTCTTCAGCTCACCCTTGGCAAATTGCTATTCTCTTTATGTGTATGGGAGGGGCCCCTCCCCCGCTCGCCTCGTCGTTCCCAGGGGGCCTTTGCTCTTTCTCCGTTTTTTCCACGCCATATTTGTTGATTGTTTACTTTTTAAAAAACTTGCTAAAGTCTCTGAAATTCGCCCAAACGCTTACAGGCGCTCTGGTTGATTTCTTAAAATAGATTTCAATGCTTTTTCTTCAGCTCCCCCTTGGCAAATCGCTATTCTCTTTATGCGTATGGGAGGGGCCCCTCCCCCGCTTGCTCGTCTCGTCATTCCCTGGGGGGCTTTCTTTTAAATTCCCGGTATTTCGATTTAACTTGACTCACTGTTAATTGGTGGTCCGAAGACCTCGCTCAAGGTACGTTTTATACGCCCGATCTCCAACACTTGTCCCGGTCAGCGGCTCTGGTTCCATTACGGACGCCATCAGGGCGGAAGAGCACCTCAATTCTCCAGCAACATGCTGGCGAAGAGGCCACCCTTCAAAGCCCCATGGCTAAGAGCCTTCCACAAAGGCTCTGGGGTGGTGGTGACCAGTCCCAGTTGCAGTCTCAGGAACTCACACACTTTAAAAACAGAGTCAATTTTTTCTTTTTTATCCTGCAGTTTGAAAATGACGCCTTTGGGGAGGCCATTTTGGGATGGCACTCACCACCTTTTCTCAGAATCCCAAAGGTTACCTGCAGGCTAAAAAAGGTTGGGAGACCCCTGGAGGAAATATCCAAAGGAAAATATCTTATCACAATTTCAGTGAGCAATATTCTTCAGACGATATGGGTATCATTTTCAAAAATCCATATGCTATCACTCAGTAGAAAAATCAATGATCCCACCGACGGGGAGTCGACTTGATTTGAAATTCAGTGTAATTGAAATATTATTAGTAATGTGGTCATGACAGCTTTTGCTTCTTGATGTTTTTTTGTTTTGTTTTGGGGATCAGACAATTGTGGCAGCTAGAAAGGAAAGCGTTTGCCAGAAGCACCAGGAGCCGCTGAAGCTCTTTTGCAAGGACCACGAAGCCCCCATCTGCGTGGTTTGTGAGCAGTCCCAGGAGCACCAGTATCACGACATCGTCCCTGTGGAGGAGGCCTCCCAAGAGTACAAGGTAGGACATCTGCCAGATGGACGATAATGGGGAGGACACGTGGATCCTCCCCAGCTGAACTCCGGGGTGTCCCAGGGCACTTTTTGTAGGGCAGTGGGCTCAGAGTGGGAGCAACAGGATCTGTCTTTGCTGCCTGTCTCCTGGCTTGGTTACAGCCTTGCTCAGGGGGTGATGCTAGGATAAAGTCACTCCTCAGGACTGGGTGTGTGGGCCTCCTTAGTCCCCAGGGGGCAGCAGCATTTTGATAGGAGGTTTGTTACTATTTCCCCCCCTACACTGTTGTCTTCCCTTATTTAAAAAACTGTGGAGTTGCTGTTAACCCTCCGGCCAGGGGTAACAGTAGGACGCAGGACATTCTGCACTTATGTCTAGTTTGGCCTTTGATGACAGTTTTGCTTTTAATGTTTTATAGTAAACTTCTGAAAAGAAACAAACCTCAATTTGGGACCTTTTCCACCCCTAGGATCAGTTCTGCACTTGTGTGGAGATTCTGCGGAAGGAGAGGAACAGAATCCTGGCGTACAAAGACAGTCTAGTGAAGGAGAGCCAAGACCTCCTCGTAAGTGTCACTGTGGCTGGGAAGTGTACAGCGACTTGAAACTGAAGGCAGCCAAATGCGAAAACTCACACAAGAAGCCAGCCTCCTGCCACTGGGAATTGCTTGGTTCCCCACGGGAGAGTTAATGAACGACCTCTTAGAATTGTGTTTTGTGAATGTTAAGAGGAGCATCCTTCCTCTCAAATCTCTGCAGTGAACAGGTCAGTTTGCCCTACCAGTGCAAAAGCTCCATGTGGAAGCCTTCGGGGTAGGGTGGGATATAAATCCAAACATAAATAAAATAAAATGAAGTAACCTTAGGGTCGGTGTGGAGACTTGAGATGTTTCTTCAGCTCTTTTTGTCTTGTGCTGCAGGACGTGTTTGAGTTCTGTGAAGTAAAACATCACTCCAAGAAGAAAGTAATGCAGAGATAATTATTGTGTCTGTGTCCTTTGGATGGGTCCTTCCGAAATGTTGTCTTTTCCTACTGAATGTTGTTGCGATCTCTGGGAAGGGCAAAAGTGCCATTCCAGTAGGAGTCTTCTCAGGGACTTCTTCCCACTGCAAACACGAGCTGTATTCTTTTTCTGTCACAGAGGCAAACCAAAGGAGAGCGGCAGAAGACGCTGACCAAGTTCAGGCAATTACAGAAGTTTCTGGAAGAACAAGAGAAACTTTTGCTGGCCCAGATGGAAGAGGTGGAGAAAGAGGTGGAAAAAAAAAGAGACCAGCACCTGTCCAGACTCTCTGAGGAGCTCTCCTCTCTTGAGAGCCTCATCCGGGAGATGGAGGAGAAGCATCGGCAGCCAGCCAGTGATCTCCTGCAGGTGAGGGGGTGGCAGGAACAGTCCAGGCTTCCCTTGGGGAGGAGGCTGGCTCCAGACCCTCTCTGTGCCTCCTCCGCTTAGCAGAAAAGCAAACAAGCCCAGTTTATGTTGCTAGCAGGTTTCCATCTCCGCACGTGGGCCCTTTTCCCCTCCTCCCATTTACATCTCCAGTCAAGGGCAGACTGCACAATCCCGGTGGCCCTGTGGAATTCCACCCCCAGGAAATGCATCTCTCCATCCCAACAGCCCCCTGCCACCCCCTGGTAGATGGAGGCCACTCGGCTTCCATCTCAGAAGCCAAAGTGTGTTTGTGTCTCAACCAGTAGTCTGGGGAACCCCATGCAAGCAAAGCCAGGTTCACGGGGAGCTCTTTCAAAAATCCCCAACAACCAGGGTCACATGCAAGACCTTTCACAGGTCGTTTTAAAAGGAGGATGTCTGTGGGGGTAGGGGATGTCCCTTATACTGGCTGCTTGCAGTTGGGCACACACAAATGCACACAGACACACAACACCAACAACACAGGAATCCACAACACACCCTAATTTGAGGGCTTCCTGCCTTCCATGTGAGGAAAAACCCCTTTGTGAAAGTTGCCACTGTTGAGTTGACAAAGCAGATCACCCAGCTGTGTTCCGAAATGGCTCCCTTTTGTCTGCTGATATCAGCCTCACGGAGATTTTCTCCCACTTTATAAAAATGTCCCCCCGTCTCTAAGAGAAGTCTCCTAGCTGGACACAAGCAAAAGGCCAGAGTGCAGAATCTTCCAGAACCTGAGGGGGTCTTTCTGGTGTGGTCTTTTAGCAGGCACTGAGGTCTCTCTTCTTCCTCTCTCTCCCCCTCTCTGCCTTTCTTCTTTAGGATGCCAGAAGCACCTTGCAGAGGTGAGTGGACCTTTAACATTAACCTTCTTAATGCTGGGAGTGGACTGAGCAGCCTGTGAAGAACTTGGTCCTTCAGGATCGTGGCTGAGGGCCAGATCTGGTGTAACTAGGAGCCTGGATCTCCATCTGTCTGCCAGTAGGAAACAGCTTCTGCACAGAGCCCCATCAACAGGAGATCATGTACTAAAATGGCGGGTGTTTTTTCCCCTGGGCTGACACCTTCCTGTGCCTCTCTAGAGCAAGGGGTCCCCCAACTGTTCTGAGGTGGCAGGCACCTTTGGAATTCCGACGTGTGCTGGGCACAGCCACAGAAGGTGGTGCCATCCACGATTCATGAAATGGCTGCCGCAGCATACCTTCAGTCACACAGTGAAGATCCTTGTGTCGTGGTGGCGGCTGCCGCCAAAGCAACATTCTTACAAAACAGCCCAGGAAATGCAGAGTTTGAGTCTCCTCAGCGACATTCATTCCACAAAATGGGAGGTGGGCATCTGGACTGGCTACGGTGGCATCTTACTGACTGTGCACTGCGATGGCCGCCCAGCCCAATCCGATGTGCTCCACCTGCTAGGGAGCATAAGGTGAGACGACACACGAGGAAGCAGGAGTGGGAGCGTGTGCCATGTATACATCAGAGTTCCTGCCACCACGTGGCACTGAAATGTGCTGTTCCTGCTCAGATTTCACCTTGGCCATTTCCATACTAGCAATTTGACCTGCATTCAGTGCTCTGGGGAAGTGGGATTGCCCCCCTCCCCCAAATGCCACCAGGGTTCTTTTTTGACACCCCCCCCATCAATCACTGGCATCTTGGCATAATGTCAAGTGCCATTTAAGAACCCCCCCCCCCCCCCCACCACAGCACCAGCCGCGGCTCGGAGCACAAATCCTGCTGGGTGAGACCTGTGGTCCATCTCGGCCAGCATCCTGTTTCATGTCGTGGCCACCCAGTCGTCCTGGAGGGCCAGTCAAACTGAGCACAGAGGCCAAGGCACTTCCCTGCTTCTGCCTCCTGGCACCAGTGCTCAGAGGTTTGCTGCCTCTGGATTTGGGGGCTCCCTTCAGTCCCCGAATCTAGCAGCCGTTGATGGGCCCCCTCCTCCATGAA